GATTGACTTTGCAGTCTAGGAGCAGACATCCCTGGGACATCCCTGTCTACTCTGTGTATGAAGGGGGTAAGAATGATTCTCGCTGTAAAGATTTGCTCCTTCTTTTGGGAGAACAGCAGAGAGTGAGACCATACCCAGAGAAGCAGTGACACCAGAAATGGAGGCAGAGACGATGACATGGAGAGATAAAGCAACTGGGGACTTTAGATCCAGAGAGGGAGAAGGGCTGTGTGCTGACGACCAGGGAGCAGGCTTTCAGGGTATACCATTTGGTTGGTTGATGTTGCATAGAGGAGATTGTAATCATGGCAATGAAACGATATACAATAGGATGAATGTAAAGCTAATTTTCTTCCATGTAAACTATCACATAATTCACAACAAAACATTTTTTTTTTAAATTTCAGGCATCTTCCACCTCATTGAAATGTCTAGGGTAACAGTGATGTGGGGTATGTGGAAATATCCTTACTAAAGTGAAGGATAAGTTATTGCATCTGGTTGCTCTCACAACTAAAACGGAGGCCTAATGAACCTCTTTGGATTTGGGAGGAAATATATCCCTCATTTGGGAATGCTTGTTGTTATTTTTAGGTGCCATCAAGTCAGTACCAACCCATAGTGGCCTTATGCATAGCAGAACTAAACACTGCCCGATCGTGGGCCAACCTCACTACTGTTGTCACGCTTGAGTCCATTGATGCTGCCACTTGGCCAATCCATCTTGTTGGGGGTCTTCTTCTTTTTCTCTGACCCTCCACCTTACCAAACATGATATCCTTCTAAGTTACTGGTCCCTTCGACTATATGTCTGAAGTATGAGAGATGAAGTTTGGCCATCTTGGCCTCCAGGGAGCAATCTGGCTGTACTTCATCCAACATGGATCTGTTGGTTCTTTTGGCAGCCCATGGCACTTTCAATATTCTCCTATAACACCATAACTCAAATACATCAATTCTTCTATGGTCTTCCTTATTCACTGTCCAGCCTTCACATATATATGAGGTTATTGAAAATACCATGGCTTGGGTCAGGCACACCTTAATCCTCAAGCTAACATCATGCAATTCAACACTTTAAAAAGGTCTTGTGCAGCAAATTTGCCTAATGCAATACATCGTTTGAGTTCTTGACTGCTACTTCCATGAGAGTTGATAGTTGATCCAAGAATGAAGTCCTTGACAACTTCAATCTTTTCTCCATTGATAAGAATGTTGTTTATTGGTTCAGTGGTGAGAATTTTTGTTTTCTTGACATTGAGATGGAATCCATACTGAAGGCTGTGCTCTTTGATGTTCATCAGTAAATGTTTTAAGTTCTCTTCACTTTCAGCAAGCAAGGTTGTATCATCTGCATATTGCAGGTTGTTAATGAGTCTTCCTCCAATCCTAATGCCATGTTTTTCTTCATAGAACCCAGTTTCTCAGATGATTTGCTCAGCATACAATTTGAATAAGTATGGTGAAAGAATGCAACCTTGTCACACACCTTTCTTAATTTGAAACCACTCAGTGTTCCCATGTTCTGTTCAAACAACTAACTGCCTCTTGGTCCAGGTACAGATTCCTCATGAGCACAATTAAGTGTTCCAGAATATTCATACTTCGCAATGTTGTCCATAGCTTGTCATGATCCACACAATCGAAAACCTTTGCATAATCAATAAATCACAGGTAAACATCTTTCTAATATTCTCTGCGTTCAGCCAAGATCCATCGGGCATCAGCAATGATATCTCTTGTTCCACGGCCTCTTCTGAATCAGCTTGAACCTCTGGCAGTTCTCTGTCAATGTATGCCTGCAGCCATTTCTGTATTACCTTTAACAAAACTTTACTTGCATGAGATATCAAAGAGATTGTCCAATGATATCCACATTCCATTGGGTCACCTCTCTTTGGAATGGGCACAATTACAGATCTCTTCCAATCAGTTAGCCAGATAGTGGTCTTCCAAATTTCTTGGCCGAGATGAGTGAGTGTCTCCTGTGCCACCTCACTTTCTTGAAAGATTTCAAATTTTATCTCATCAATTCCTGGTGACTTGTTCTTTGCCAATTCCTTCAATGCACCTTGGATGGAAGGTCAGAGACTTGGAAGGAAGATGGTTGGAAAATTGCTGATAAGGAGGTGTGGGGAAGAAGTATGTGGATTGACCTTCAGAATGGGCAAAAAAAAGTGAAGATGTTTGTGTCTCATGTGAATGCCCACCAAAGGGCTACCTTGGAAGAAGAGAGTTTTGACAATCAAGTGGGTAGGATGACACATTCTGTGGAAACTAATTATCATCCTTCTCCAGGCACTCCTGTCCTTGCCCAATGAGCTCATGAACAAAAGGGGCTGTGATGGCAGGGATGGAGGTTATGCATAATCTCATCAGTATGGGCTTCCACTCACCAACGCTGACTTGGCTACAGCCACTGCTGAGTGTCTCATATGCCAGCAGCAGAAGGCAACACTGAGTCCATGATATGGAACCATTCCTCAAGATCAGGCAGCAACCTGGTGGCAGGTTGATTACACCAGCCCACTTCCATCATGGAAAAAGTAATGTTTTGTTCTATTTGCAATAGTCACTTACTCTGGATATTGAGTTGCCTTCCCTGTATGCAAAGCTTCTGCCAAAACTATTATTGGTGTAGTTATTATTGTTTGGTACCATTGACTTGGTTCCAAGTCATAGTGTTCTTATGCACAGCAGAATGAAACACTACCTGGTCCTGTGCCATCTTCACAATTGTTACACTTGAGCCCATTGCAGCTACCGCCTTGCTAATCTATTTCTTTGTGGTCGTCTTCCTTTTTGCTGACTCTCCACTTTAATCAAGCATGAAGTCCTTCTTCAAGGACTGGTCCCTCCTGATAACATGCCCCAAGTAGGAGAGATGAAGTCTTTGCCATCCTGACTTCTAAGGAACATTTGAACTGTACTTCTTCCAACATAAATTTGTTTGTTCATCTGGCAGTCCATGGTATTTTTAGTATTCTTCTCCAACACCAGAATTCAAATGCATCAATTATTCTGTTGTCTTTTTATTTATTGTCCAATTTTCACATGCATATGAGAATATTGAAAATACCATGACTTGCTTCAGGTACACTTTGAAGAAGTCTTGTGCAGTAGATTTATCTAATGCAATACATCATTTGATCTATTGACTGCTGCTTCCAAGACTGTCGATTGTGAAGCCAGGAAAAATGAAGTCTTTGACAACTTCAGTCTTTTCTCCATTTATCATGATGTAATGTATTGGCCCAGTTGTGAGGATTTATGCTTTTCTGTACTTTGAGGTGCAATACACACAGTTTATACTCTTTGATTTTTATCAGCATGTGTTTTTTTAAGTCCTCTTCTCTTTCAGCAAGGAAAGTTTTATCATCTGTATATCTCAGGTTATTAATGAGTCTTCTTCCAATCCTGATGTCAGACTCCGAGAGAGGAGAGCCTGGGGGGACCTGACCCAGGTGTCTTCTTTCCAAGGCAGAGAGCAAGAGTAGGTGTGTGCCCAGTTTGGGGAAAACTAAATGTAGGGTTTACACCTACTGGAGTAAGCATGGAGCCCCAAGGGGATAATTGTAAGCCGGAGAGGAGAGACTCTGGCAATGAGTTGGGAGGGAAGCAGTGGGAGTGACTACTGCTGACAGGTGAGAGGTGATGAGACTGGACTTGTTGGGCACCAGAGAGGGGGACATGCAAGAAGTTCAGAAGTCAGTAGGAGGGAACTTGGGGAAGTACGTGTCTAGACCCATGAATGCAGGGGCTGGAGAAGTAGTTTTCTATGTAGATGTTATTGTTAGGTGCTGTCTAGTCCATTTGACTCATAACAATTCTAGTACACCAGAAGAAAACACTGCCCAGTCCTGGATCATCCTCATAATCATTGCTAAGTTTAAGTCCATTGTTGTCTATCTACTTGGTAGAGGGTCTTTCTCTTTGTCACTGACCCTCTACTTTACCTAGCATGATGTCCTTCTCTGGGGACTGGTCCCTCTTCATAACAAGTCTAAAGTAGAAGAATTCTGACTATCCTCACTTATAAGGAGCATTTCATTTATACGCTTATAAAATAGATTTATTCTTTCTTCTGGCAGTCAATGGTAACATATATTCAATATTCTTTGTCAACACTATAATTCAAATGCATCAATTCTTCTCAAGTCTTCCTTATTCACTTTCCTTTGCTTTTTCACAAGCATATGAAGTAACTGAAAACAAATACCATAGATTGCCACAGACACACCTTAGTCCATGAAGAGAAATCTTTGCTTTTTACCACTTTAAAGAGGGCTTTTGCAGTAGATTTGCCCAATGCAATACATCCTTTAGCTATCCACAGAGCACTTTAACCACTGTGTCACCAAGACTCCTTTACCTTTCAGTTACCAATATTATTTAAAAATAGCTAACGTAGTTGTTGCTAAGAATTGTGAATACAATTAATATCCTACACTGTAAACTTTATGAGTATTTTAATATTTAAAAAGCATAGGTACTCATACTCATATGGAAGGTTTGATATTCTCAATCCTCAGTTCTGAAAGTCCACAGCGGGCAGCTTCAGTGCGGTCCCTCATGACTGCAGAGTGTTGGACACTTGGTAACAAGCTCTAGTAGCAAGTGGCTCCTCTGTTAACCAAAATGTGAGAGGTTTAAACCCACCAGTTGCTCTAGGGGAGAAAAGCTTAGTGATCTGCTACCAAAAAATTGCAGCCTAGGAAACTCTATGAGGCAGTTCTACTCTGTCTCTTGGTGTGACTATGAGTTGGAATCAAGTCAACAGTGTTCAACAATAACAACAACAAATGAATATATATGCATATAAGATGGGCCTTCAAAGAGTTGTGGACAATGCCAGTATCTTTTAACTTTTATTATTTTTTTAATTTTCCCACAACTTTTTGAAACTCCCATGTATACAATAAGGGAGCTCTGGTAGCATAGTGGTTACGAATCAGGCTGCAAACTGCAAGGTCAGCAGTTCGAAACTACCAGCTGTTCCACGGGAGAAAGATGAAGCTTTCTGCTCCCATAAAGATTTACAGCAACCCTTGGTCAGAAACCCTGTACAGGCCGCTATGAGTCGGAATCGACTCCACGGCACATCACAACAACAACAACAACAACAACAACAACATGTGTGCAATAAGCCTGCAAAAGCCAGAACCCAAGTAAGATGCAGACCTGTCAGAGAAAAAACACACCAATATTTTCCATTAATAGAGAGCAACAGAAAAGTCGTAAGACTGCACCCTGTCAAAGACAAAAACCTGTGAGACCCAGAAAACCTAGGTGGTCCTGTCGAATTCCAGCTCTCACAGATTTCAGGCTGCGTGTACGCGCACACACACACACACACACACAAATACACACACAGAGTGAGGCTTTGGGAGTGATTTCAATGTTGGTGTAAATGACATCCTTAAATGAACCCCATTCTAAAGCTGATTGCCAGTGGGGTTCCACCCATCTGTCCCCCAGCAAGGGCTGGGGGGTTGTCTATTCCCCCTCCCTTCACACACACAAAGCTGGGACACTCTTCTGCTCTACCTCACCCTGTGCACATATGGGAGAATGTCTCAGGGACATCTGACCTTTTGCAGGATGGTGGGCATTTCCTGGTTGTTGCAGCATTTCAGCCTCTAAAGATGGACACCATCCTCAGGGTACACACCTGGATGGGGAGACCTAAGAAGATTGCACACAGCTGGGGCAGGTGATGGTGGGGTTTTGTGAGATATTACACAAGTAGTGGGGGCTAAGTGTGCAATGCAAATGCCTGTCTACCATTTCTATCCAGACCTGTCCAGCCCAGCTGCAAAATGAAGTCTCAGGTGACACCAGGCTAGACATTGTGGTTCCACGCACTGCGTTTCTGGGCTGAGCCTGTTTCCCCAGCTAGGATAAGCTCTGTACTGTGAAGCACAAGGTGGTGAGTTCGAGCCCACCAGCAACTCTATGGAAGAAAGATGAGGCTTTCTGCTCCCGCCAAGATTTACAGCTTCAGAAACCCTATACAATGTCACTACGAGACAGAACCAACTCGACGGCACTTAATAGCAACAACAACCACAGGGGCCGAATAGTGCTGTTAAGAACACTGGAGACCCAGTTAAGCCACCTGGAAATGTTGATCCAGATCTGAGGCAGAATGGGTTAACAATGCCAACAAAATGGGGGCGTGGCGAGGGCACGCCTGCTCCACTCCCAAGGTAGGGGAGTTGCAGCTTCCGGACCTCATTGGCTGTGGTGGCAGGTGACCCAGCCCAGGGGTGAGGCAGTGGGCAGCAGAAGGCTTTAGAGAGCAGCTCTAAGGCTTTAGAGCTCAGCATCCCTGGCTCCCTCTTGGGCCCAGCTGTCTGCCTTCCTCTTCTGATCCCACACCTTACTGGCAACCCTTCTCTGTCTGGCTCCCCCTCCTGGTCTCATCCCAGCCCCATCCCTGACTGACCCCCTTCCAGACCTGCTCCCAGCTCCCCTCTTCAGTACCTCCCATCCCCAGCCCGACCATGGACTTCAAAAGGGATGGCAACTGGAATATATCATTCGCTGGTGCAGGCTTCCTGAGTCTCTACTACGTGGGTATGACCCAGTGTCTGCAAGAGCATGCCCCACGTCTCCTCCTGGGCACCAAGCGCTTCTATGGCACCTCCTCTGGGGCCCTTCATGCTGTATTCTTGATCTGTGGAATGTCTGCAGGTATGGCTGGAGGCCTGGAGGATCCTGGGATCAGTGCCAAAATCCTAATGGAGGGTTCCGGGATGGGGAGGGGGGGGAGGGCTGGGTGTCTCGCCTGACCCTTGGTCACAGCAAACAGGAGGCTAGCTGACCAGGGAGGTGTGGGCAATTCCCATGAGTGGATAAGGAGCCCCGCTTCCTCTCCCACAGACTTCTGCTCCTGCACTCTGGAACTAAGCAAGGTGGTCAATAGACTGAGGCTGGGCATCTTACACCCGGCCTATACCCCCATGGACCACTTCAAACAAAAAATGCAAAGCTGTCTTCCAGACAATATCCACATTCTGGCCTCCCAGCGATTGGGCATCTCACTGACCCGCTTATCAGACGGCAAGAATGTCATAGTTACCAACTTCACCTCCCGAGATGAGCTTATCCAGGTAGGGTAGGTGCTAGGGCTGTGGTTACTCAAGGGCAAAGACACCCATGGGTGGAGGAGAGGGCAGGAGCAGTTTGAGATTCCCCAGTTTGCCTCCAAATAAAGAAACTGAAGGGGTGACAACTTGTCAAAGACATTCAATGAGTACAAGGACTCCCACTTGCTTTAGGGAGGCCTCTTGGGATGGGGGCAAGCTGAGTTTAATAGGACCTCCTTGGGGGGCAGCAGCTTCCGGTGGGATGCCCAGCCCCATCCTGAGCCAATCCTTTATTGAATGTACATTATGGCATTGAGAACATAACAGGGACCAGAAAAGGGACCTCCTGCCTTCTTGGGGCTCGGTTACACTGGAGAAGGAATGCCAGCGTTGGCAGCTGTATTGGGGAGGAGACACCACTCCACAAGTCATTTCTGAGTGAAAGGGAGAGATCGATTGTATTCCTTTTGATGCTTGTCTTCCCAGGCCATGGTCTGTGCCATATTCTTGCCAGTCTACAGCGGAGTGATTCCCCCTGAATTCAGAGGTAAGGTAAGTGTACTTGGGGGTTTCCTTACTAAACTCATCAAGGTGTCCTGGGCTCTGAGGGCACCTATTGTGAGCCAGACCCTCTCCCCCACTCCTATGGGGGCTCAACATCCTGGACCAGATGGATCCAGGGACTTTGGAGTAACCATCCACAGCCTAGTCTCTGCTGGTATCTTGGGGTGGTGCTGGGAGAGACAAGGTGATTTCAGAGAGCAGCACAGCCCACCTGACCCCGTTCCCCACATTGCAGCGCTACATCGATGGTGCTCTGAGCAACAACCTACTCTTCAAGAATGACAAGTCCACCATCACCGTGTCCCCGTTCCCTGGGAAGCAGGACATCTGTCCCCAGATCCAGTTGGTCCACACGCACGATCTGAACATCTTCAAAATTTGTAACAAGAAATTATTCATGGCATACCTGGCTCTTGTCCCCCCGAGTGTGGAGGTAGGTCTAGCCACAGCCCCAGCCTGGTAGATGTGTACAAGCTCAGACATGAGTGAGACAGTGTGTGCTTGATCTGGGTTCCAGTTGGGCCGTATGTCCCACATTCATGGCCAGGTCAAGTCAAGTCTGGGCTCAAGTCACGTCCTTCCTATTCCTTCTGCTCTGAGCAAGTGTCGCGTTAGGAATGGCGTCCACATTAAGGGAGGGGTCTCTCACACACACTTTGTTGTGCTAGTTTTCAGCCAGGCCTCACCTGGCCTGTGTCCCTAAGTCAGGCTCCAGGGAAGGGACTGTTGTCACCTCCACGTCTCAAGGGAGGACATTAAGACTCAGAGGGGGGAGAGCCTTGTTCAATGTCCAACAGGCTGGAAGTGGCAAAGCCAGGATTCAAACCTTCAGCTGGCTCCTGTCTCCTCCCGGCTGCTCTAGACTGTGGCCCCACTGACTCTCTGTCAGGGGAGGGGAGGCCCAAGCTCAGACAAAGAGGAACACCAGGCTCTCAGTTCTCTAACTACCAAACCCAAGCCTGCTGCCGTCAGGTCGGTTCTGTGCTGTTTTAACCACTGCAATACCACAAGGGGGTGGTTTTCTCAAATCGACATTTATTCTTTCTCTGTTTGGGAGGCTAGACCTCTGAATTCAGAATGCCAGCTCGAGGGGAAGACTGTCTCTCTCTGGAAGGTCCTTGTCTCTTTTGTTTCTGTTTCTTGGTTATTAGAGATTTTATGTGGTGTCGCATCGGTCTTCCCTTCCCTCCTCTTGTTAGTCTGTTTCATATGTTCTTTGGTGTCTGAGAAGAGATTGATTTAAGAGACACCTGACACCAATACTGTCTCAGTCACATGACGAAGAAACCTCACTCCCAAACTGGATTGTAACCACAGCGTCAGGTTTACAACGTATACTTTTGGGGAACACAATTCAATCCATATCAACCAGGAACATATTTGCAGCTCTTTGGTTCTTAGTAATGTGCTCAGCTGCTCACTGAAATGTTGGCAGTTCAAGGTCACCTAGAGGTGCCTCTGTAGAATATTCTGTTGATCCACTTCCAAACCTAAGGAAGCCCAGTTCTACTCTGACACAACGTTAGCTTGATGTCAAATATTCTTTCTTTTTTCCCCCTTTCTGTAAAATAGGTAATATGTCAGCCGTTATCATCACACCGATCCCCTCCCCAATGATGCCTTCATGATGTTCCCCCAACTCCCTATCCCCCGTCCCCCATGCCTCCCTCCTCCTATGCTGGTCTTGTACTTTATCATTTACAAAACAGAGTCCTGTTCACTTACTTTGACCCTCCTCACATCCCTGGATGGGGGACACAGACGATATCCGTCCATTCACAGACCAGAAAACAGGCTCTAGGGGAGCTGGTCAGTGACCGGAGGTCCCACAGCAAGGGGATGCAGATCTCTTTCCTGGACCTAGGCCTTCTCCCTTCATGTCTCCCGTGAAGATGGACAGGTCTGGGCTCCTGGACGCTCTGCCCCTCTCTGGCCAGTCCTGGAAATAAGCACCAAGGGGCCAAGGGGCCAATGGCCTGCGCTGGTGTCCCAGCTGTCCCGGGTCAGGCCTCGTTGTCTTATTTTCCAGAGGGAGGAACCGAGGCAGGAGAGGGGGCTGGAGCTGGGACACCTGGTCAGGGACCTGGGGAGGAGTGAAGTGGGGGTACTGAGGGAATCATTATGGGTGGATCTGTCCTGCTTGTGGTTTCTGGAAAGTGCTGGGGTCCCTGGGCCTCCGAATTCTACTGAGGGGTCAGTTGGGAAGAGTAGGCTGGGCTGGGTTGGCTCCTAGTTGAAGTTAGATGGAGAGACAGACACACACCTCCCCATCTCTCCCCCCACCTGTGTGTTCTTAGACAGTGGCCGACATCTGCAGACAAGGCTACCTGGACACCCTGAGATACCTGGAGAAGCAGGGTAAGTAGCATGCCCCATGGTAGCTGATAGAGCCCTCGTGGGGACCACACGCATGCGGGAACCAGGAAACGCTGCCTCGGGGGCCGTTTGAGCTGCTGGGAGCTGAGCTCCTCAAGGCTTGCCCATCATCTGCTCTGTGCTCTGTCTTAGCTGAAAATTGGTACCCAGAGAGGGGTGAACACCCAGGGGGAGAGACCCTGAGCAAGACCACCCAGGGAGAGGGTGCAGTCAAGGAGAGATGCCCAGGGCTGTGGAGGCCCAAGGAGACAGCTGAGCAGCTGGGGGACAGGAAGGTGGACATGGTGACCAATGAGCTGCAAGACAGGCTGTGAAGGCAGCACTGAAGGGGGCGGGGATGGCAGAGGACCTTCCCCCCAAAAAAGGAAGAGAGAAAACACAGGTTTGGCAGTGGGAGCCCCGAGGGATATCGATTCAGTGTCAGGAAGTGTGTGTGTGTGCCTGGATGTATGTGTTTGAAACTGTGTATGTGTGTGACTGTGTGTATAACTGTGTGCATACGTGTGTATGTGGGCATATGCATCAGTGTACTTACGTGTGTGTATACACATACATGTGTATGCATGTATGTGTCATATTTGCAGGTGTGCTGTGTCTATGTGTGTCTTTGTGCCCATGAGTGTATGTGGGTGTATTTTTGTGCCTTATATATGTGTGAGTTTTGTGGGTTTTGCATATATGTGTAAGCATGGTGAAGTGTGTGTGTGTTAGTGTGAGTATGTATGTGTATTTAAGCATGTTTTTCTGTGCATATTATGTATAAGTATGATGTATATGTGAGTGTAGATGTGATGCATGTGTTCAGGGTGTGTGTGCTGTGGCCATATATGGAGTGTCTGTGGCATGTGTGTTTATATGTGGAGTGTGTGTATGTGGTGTGTGTGTGTGGCTTGTTTCTGTATGTATCTGTGATGTGGTTTGTATGTAGTTGGTGTGTGCTCTGTGTGTGTGCTGTATGTATGTAGAATATGTGTATAAGGTATATATGTATGTGGTGTGTGTATGCAATGTGCATGGATGTGGTATATATGTAAGTGGCATGTGTATGCATGTGTCAGAGACAGTTCACAGGATGACAGGTGGACCCGAGAGACCTGGCAGGAGATCTTGGTTGTCACTCCATAGAGCAATGCTCTTCAGAATGGCAGAGCTGTGATTTGAACTCAGCACCTGTCCCCATGTCCCCAACCCCTAGGCGACAGCCTCCAGTGGCCACAGCACCCAGCCCTGGCTACAGCTTTACATAGTGATCTCATGTAACCCACAGAACAACTGTACAAAGCAGGTCTCACATTTCCCCCTTCACAGAGAGGGAAACTGAGACTTGCAGGGAGGAAAGTCAGGATTTGAACTCTGGCTTATGTTTTTAGGGCCTTGGCTTTGGTCACCCATGTGAAATTTCTCAGGAAACTGATGGGGAGTAGCAGAGGAGGGATTGCTAGGGATGAGCCGTGTGTCCATCCTGAGACAATAAAGTCACCAGACCATGGGGGTGGACAGCACAGATCATGAAGTTGGCATGGGACCTGTCACCTCACTTCCCTCCTCTCCTCTCCCTGACCCAGGACTCACCAAGAAGCCGATACTGTGTAGTCTGACATCTAAGGCACCTCCATCCCCTGCTGAAGGAGCCCAGGACTCTGGCTGCAACCAGGAAGGGAAGGCGGGCCTGACTCTCAACTGGGCGGTGCCAAATGTGTTGGTCAAGGACGTGCCCAACTTTGAGCAGCTCTCGCCAGCACTGGAGGCTGGTACTGCCCCTACCTACCTGCCTTGCTCACCTACCAGCTTCCCTTACCCACGGGCTGGGGCTGGAACTCTTCGCCAAAGGACCTCAGGGTCTGGATGAATGCAAAATCCCATAACAACCCTGTTGTTGTTTACTGCCTTCGGTTCCTAACTACAGTGGCCCTGTATAGGCTTCCCAATAAGCTGCCGGTGGGTTTAAACTGCCAATCTTGAATTTCACAGTCCAGTGCTTATCCTACCATGCCACACCAGGACTTCTATACAAAGCTATGTTGTTATTGTTAAGTGCTGTGGAGTCAGATTTGACTCATAGCCACCATGTTTAGAGCTTCTGAGGAGCGGCTGGTAGGATTGAACTTCAGACTTTGTGGTTCACAGTCTGGTGTTGATCCTACAGCCCTCCCCCCCCACCCCCCAGGAGTCCAGAGCAACCTTGTAGGACAGAGTCAAACAGTTCCTTAGGGTCCACGGCTGCGTCTTCACGGTGCCCTCTCATCACTCTCCACAGAGCAGCTGCTGGGTTTGAACCTTAGGCCTCGAGGTTATCAGTCCAGTGCTTATCCCACTGCTCCACCCGGGTTCCCAGATAGGTGGTCTGGAAGCTGCCTGGGAAGAGAGGTGGGAGTCCCCGGGGATATGATAATGGGGAAGGTGACTGACCCCCTTTTCGGAGCTGACCATTTCTCTGAGCTGTATAGTCTAGTTCACCGGGCTGAGGGGGGAGGGGAGGGGCAGAGAGTAGGTTGAGGGTGGGGTCAGATTTAGGGTTAGTGTTGGGTTTGGACTTAGGGTTTAGGTTATGGGGTTAGGTGTTAGGGTTCGGTTTAAATTTAGTTTGGGTTTGGTTTAGAGGTGGCATTCAGGTGAGGTTAAGGGTTATCTTTAGGGTTAGGTGTTAGTGTTAGATTTGGAGGTTAAGTTTAGAGTTATTGGCTACAGTTGGGATTAGGGTTAGGGTTGGTTTGGCTTAGGGGTAGGTATAAGTGTAGGGGAAGGATTAATATTGGAGATGTATTTAGGGTTAAGGGCTAGGGTTATGTTTAGGGTTAGGGTTGGGTTAGATTAGTGGTAGGTGTAGGGGAAGGGTTAATATTGGAGTTGGATATAGGGTTAGGGGCTAGGGTTATGTTTAGGGTTAGGAATTAGGGTTAGGGTTGGGTTATATTAGGGGTAGGTGTAGGGGAAGTTGGATTTAGGGTTGGGACTAGGGTTATGTTTAGGGTTAGGAATTAGGCTTAGACTCCATGGGGGAACCCACCCTCTGTCAGCCACACCTCTCTCTGGGAAGGGGTTTGTACTTGGCCCTCACCCTTATAGACTTAAAGCATTCTTACACCTAATCAGTCCTGGTGTGACATTGGAGGTTAAAACACTAGACTGCAACGTCAGTTTGAACCACAAGGTTCGTGGTCAAGTTCACCAGATAGGACTCCATGGCACTTAACAACAACACAGCCCATCAGGAGACAGGTCCTGCTGGTACCCCCATTGTAAGGAGCAGGAATCTAGGTCAGGGACAGGTGAGGTGACTGGACTTGGGGCCCACCACAGGGGAACTGTGTTCTCTGTGACCCTTGAAAGTGCTGTCTGCAGGTGACATCAGTTGGGGATGAGGTGGGTGTGTGAGTTGTGGTCGGAGGCTGGGGTATGGACTCAGGTCCCTCCCCACTCCAGTGCCCCATGGGCTCTCAGGCTGGTCCTTCCTCTCTGACTCAGGAAATGGTCACTGTGGTTACAGCTGTACTGCTGTTACCAATAACTGTGTTGCTGTGTTGAGGGAGGTGTGGTGGGGGCCTGTCCCATCCTGGGGACCCAACCAACTTCCCAGGGGCAGGAGAGATGGCATCCTACCAGCTGTGAGTCCATGCTGGCCCTGCCACTTCCTGGGGGTGACCCTTGGGCAAGTCACTTCTCCACTCTGAACCTCAGTCTCCTCATCTGTGGAAGGGGCACACTGTGTATCTCATGGGCAATGGTGAGAGGGTCATGTTCAATGCCCAGCACCTTGGTAGCTCGTAGTAGGGCCATCATCTATGTTATTTCCTCCTCTGCAGACTTGGGGGGTGAGGGTTCAGGTTGGGAGAGTCACTGCCTCCTTGCCTTTAGGGTGAATCTAAGCATGGTGGGCTGCAGGGTGGGTGGTCTGCCAAGTGGACGGGGCCATGTCATGACTTCTCTTGCAGCCCTGAGGAAGGCGTGCATGAGGAAGCCCGGCCTCTGGGCACACTTTTGGCAGTCGGGCTCCGGGAAGGTGCTGACATATCTGCTGCTGCCCTGCACGTTTCCCGTGGAGTATGTCTACTTCCAGTCCAAGAGGTGAGGCCCAGGGTCCTCGCATGGGTTGGCGTGCAGTCAGGGCTG